ATGGAAACTCGTGCACTTCCTTCGGCATCTGTGCCCAGATCCAGGACGGCGACAGCGTCTGAGGTATCGGCTCCCATTGCATCACCTTCCGCATTTCGCACAAATGCTTCATCCACAGCTGCCACTGTCTCTTCAGATTGGGATTCTACTGCAGTCTTACCCACGGCGTTTAGAACGCCTTCCCGTGCAACTTCCAGGGCACCGTCTTGTGCAGCTTCTAGGACTCCTTCTATCACAGTGTCCAGTATTCCATCACATACAGCCTCTAGAGCAGCTTCTCGTACAGATTTAAGGAGTCCATCTTGCGCAACTTCTAGGACCTCAAAAACTCGACAACATGGCTGCGATTCCTTCATCATTACTTCAGCCGCTGCTTCTATGAAGCCAACACTGAACTCTCGGAAAAGTACTTCAAATCGCGTGGACCCCATCATGTCCCCTCGTCCAGAGTCTACTGAGATTGCATCCATGTGCAGAAATCCGGTAAACGAGGAGCATTTGCACGCGCAGTCGAACGAGAAGGTTGATGAGCATGGCGACAAGCAGCACGGTGTGCAAGTCAATGAGGAGCCGGGTGAGCAGGGTAACGGGCAGGCCGATGAACACGTTGACGAGCAGCTTGGTCAGCACATCGACGACCAGGCCAGCAATCAGGGTAACAAACAACCCGACTCCCAAGCCAAGAATTCTGTATCAGCGAGCAAGGAGACCGCATATGGCGAGCATGCAACTATCCCAGACGTTGCCATCAACGGCAACAACGAGACCGGTTCCAACAAATGTCCCTTGAATGGCCTTCATCCCGAGGTCTATGATTGCAAGCACGACACTCGACATTGCTTCGCCTGCAGTCGTCCCAGAGACGTGCGGTATGTCGATTTCAGGCATAGATATTGCCGCGGAGAGGAACCACAGCGTAGTCTTTGCCGCACCTGTCATCGAAGCCTTGACCGGAATATGGAACTCGACCTAAAGCCCAACAATAGTAATAAGAGAACGCTCACGGACATCAAAAAATTTCACTGGTGCGCGCAGTGTGGCACTATCAGGTCCCATAAATTCCATGAGCATTACCCCTCAGGAACGGAGGTCCCTCCTCGTCACCAGCTGTGCCATCCATGCTGCAAGTGGGCTAAGCTGCTCCACAAGAGTGAACTTGCCATTTATGCCCCAGCTAAAGTGGACGATGACGCTAGCAACAATAGCAAGAAGCGAGAAAGTGGTGATGAAAAGGACCATGCCGGAGATTCCCTGGTAAGCTTGGTCATGCCCTAGCGACGCGGATCCTACTTACAATACAGCAGCATCGGCATAAAGACATCAGACCAGCTGACGATCGCCCTCGAGATGGCCCAGCTGTGATCGAACCCATGCCTTCCAACACCCAAGCTCAGGAAATGCAATACCTGAAAGCTTCGGCACCGGTCGTTAGCTCTGATCCAGGTCATCAGCATCATCCCTCGAAGTCTCGTGCCATGACCGAAAGTTTGGTGTCACGGCCCGTAGCTGAAAGCTCATCTCAGGATCAAACCCTGAGGCCTGTCGCTTATTCTGCACCTGGCAAGCACGATCCTTTTAGTGATTTGGACGTCTATTATTCACAGTCATGGCAGATCCCAGTCGATGATAGTCCTCCTCCTCAACGCAAGAGATCTGCTGCCACCTATAGCTATGATCAAGGTAACGAGGGCCACCTCCACGAAACTCTCCATGTGAACTATCATGAGATCGTTGGCCAAAAGGACACTTGCAACCATCAAGCCAAGCACCATCGTGGCACCCACGAAGTCAGCTTACCGGAGATTTTGCTCACAGTTCCCACTGAGGAGGTTCATATCGCGCAGCCAACCGTGGTTTTAGATGAGCAATGCCCTGAAAGCCCGCTCCATGATCACTTTTCTCAGTTCTCTTGGAAAGATGGTGACGCGCATCATCACTCAAAGTATCAGCGTCAACTATCAATGCAATCACAGGCAAGCAATCAGACTGTGCACCCCTCGGGCAATAACTTCACATCCTGCCGCAACAAAGAGAACTACCCGAATTACGCTCCTCAACATACTACTCCTAGACAATTTCATTGGCCGACTGGGCGGGGAGAGGTGGACAACAACCAGCCCAAAGGGCTCTCCGACATGTTCTACGAAACAGCTGAAGGCAAGCGCGCCGATGCTTTCTTTGCCTCCATGAGCAGCTGGTCAGAGCCTAAATCCAAGCTGAAACCTCGGAATGGACCGACGGACAACTACAACACGTGGCCTCCCGGCTCATACAATATGACGGAGCCGGCGGCCTACGAGTACTTAGAGAAACGGCGGTCTAAGAGAGCAAGTGTCATTCCCGGATCGCCTCCCCATGGCCACGTGCGCAATGTCAGCGACTCCTTGTCAGTCGAAACGGTCGGTGTGTGGCAGGGCGTCACTCCAGGAGCGCCTAAAGCGGAGGTTACAGAGCCGGAATCTCCAGCTGGTGAAGAGGTGAGTCAAGTTGCTTTTCGCATGCGCCATTCCCGCAAAAACGGAACAAAGGAAGACAGTGGCTCGTCTGCGTCGAATTTCTAGGTTCTCATTCTTTACTATCTCCTTATTACTCCTTCACCTACCGCCTGCACGTCACTTCCTGGCTGAGTATACTGTCTATCATATTCACTGATCTTCCGCGCTCCCCCTCTTCTTAAGATCGTAGCCATGTGGCTACTATAATGTTTAGTTTCACTCTAATCATGTACCCATGACTATTTTTAATCGATTTCTCTGGCCCCTTTGCTACATATACCTGTTATGCCGAACGGTCATAACAAGCACACTTGGTTGTTGTACCGAGCGGTAAGACATTATGCTTACAGTGCAAAGCTTCATACATTCTCCTTGCTGTTTTCGGCCTGTCGAGACGACATGAAGGCACATTCATCCAAACTCCTTTTTGCTCTTATAAGGCAGATTCATTATGATATTAGCGCAGGTGTGGAAACCTTTTCTACCTACGGGGCTGGCAGGAAGAACAAGGCAGACTCACATCAGTGGCATCAAGTCCATTCTGTTCATGATAAGACACACACTGAGGGGGGCCCAGGGTTCAGCAAATCCGATGTAATAGGCACAGAACTACCAAGTCTTGTACATGGCAAAGTACCACTACATCGGATAGTTCTTGGAACATCCCTCACCGATGGACCCAGAAGCGAATGACAAAATGACAGGTGTCATTAAAAGGCTTTCCCTCAAGAACATGGGAAGCTAGCGAGTGGCAACCGCTATACACCTCTTAAGTCCGACATAAACAAATACCCAAGCATCACAACCAAGCAGTTGACACCCGACCCATTGCAAGCCTACAGTATGGCTGTACGTGACAGCAATGCTACTTATGGAAGAACGAAACCCAAACCGTTGAAGAAATCGTAGCGCGATCGTCGGAATAGAACAATCAGTATGGACTGACTCTCTCTGCCTTCTAGTTTCCACATTGATACAGAATACACGACCCCTACTTCACAAAGAGAACAGGCAGGCTTTGGTGGTAGTGCCATTCAAACGCTGGTCACGGTAGCCATCCTTTCCCTTGAGCATTCTTTTGCTGAATTTCGTAAATGAGCATGTACAAGTGGAGCCATAAGACGAGCAACCGTAAATGGAAAAGTGATAATCAAAAAAGAAAAAGGGAGGAAAAAAAGAGAGCCCAGGTCGGGTCAAAAATTTGCAGGGGATTTAAGCCTCCGGTACACAGAGCTTTATCTATTCGCTTTTTAAACATTGCTTTTAGGACAAGGTGAAATGGATTTTAAAGCAATAAGCTCCTCTTGTTTGCCAGGCTCTCGTTATTCGATGCTGGCACAAGGGGAGAGAGCGAGGACGGCGGACACAGACTTGGGAAACAGAGAAAAGCCTATAGACAGACAATGCATCACGGATCAAATCCGTGGTTCACGAGGTGATAGCTCTTGTTTCATACATTGGTGCTGTGCACAAATCATTTGCAATGCTAACGGAAAAGAGAGGGCGGGGTTCTCAATATGTCTTGTCACGCGGCGTGTTGGCCATGTCTGATGTTTTGCTATCCCAAGTGAAGAGTCTCCCTTATTACATCTATCTTTATATGTGTTTTCATACCGCAGCAAATGACAGCACAGCACTACATCAGCCTTCGAGAGTTCCCAGACGATCTGCTGTTTCCACGTATACGGATCGCTGTTCAAGGTTTCGGCTTTACCCAAACCCTACAACAACCCTTTTTACCGTAGAGCACACTACCCAGAAGTGCCCATGAGTCGAATGTTGCTGGTCGAACAAAGTGAACGCCCAAGAGTGCTGGCAGAAGATTGCTACCGCGTAGCTCTCAAGGTAGCTCTTATGCTAGAGGTTGGCTAGTATACTGACCAAGACCCCCAAAGAAATAAAGACAAAAACAAACCAAAAGAAAGCAAAAATGAGCTCAAAGCCTAACCTCGAATGTAAATACGTGAAAACCACAACCCCCTCCCACACCTACGCCATCCATAGAACTTTCATTCGCTAGAGGTCGGTTGGTATATTGACCCAAGTCATGAATCAGCTGCTACTTAATAATAACAAAAAAACCAACCCCCCCCCCCCCCCCCCCCCCAAAAAAAAAAAAAAAAAAAAAAAAAAAAAAAAAAAAAAAAAAAAAAAAAAAAAGAAAGAAGAAAAAGAAAAAGCAGGGAGAGAAATAAAAGGAAGAAGAAACAACAACAAAGAGTTCGTTCCCAAACTTTGCTTTTGTCTCGAGTACCACAACACCCCTAACCCACCCGTGATGCCTGACACATCCATCCATACCCTTGGGTTTAAATGATGATAACCAAAAAAAAAAAAAAGGAAAAAAAAAACCGAAAACGTGCATTTATCATGTATCCATCCATGGAACTACTCCTGTGTCAACGTCCTCGGTTTTGCCGCGCGACCCCATCCCTATTTTAGTCCGTAAACAGGCAAGATACAAAGAGCGGTGGAAAATCTTCCTAAACATCCACCTGTTCCTGTTTACTTTTGTGCTGCTGCCCTACTACTTTCTGCAAGTGGCAGTAGTGGGCCTTGTGGCTGGGTCCGAGATAGGGAGAGAAGGGCTTGCTCGGGTGTTGGAAAGTCCAAACCTGAAGGTTGGAATGGTTCGAACCGAGCTTCTGGTGGTGCCTGTGCCTGCGCCTGCGCCTGTGCCTGTTGTTGTTGTCGTCCCTGTTGCTGTGGTACTTGCGGTAGCTCCTTCTGCCCTGGCGGTAGTTTCCGTAGCTGTTTCTGTTGTTGATGATGCCCTAGTTCTTGCTGCTGCTGTTGTTGTTGTTGTTGTTGTTGTTGTTGCTGTTGTAATTGCGGTTCACCGACGACAATATCTCTATCCACGCTGGCAGTCGCACTTCGCGAAGGAGCAGTGAAGTCAAAGTCACGGCCCTCAGCTGCCCTCTTTTCCCGAGCCTTTAAACGCTTGACGCGACCCAGTTGCCTGTCCTCTTTGGTAACTTTCTTCAGTTGTCTGCTGATGGTGGCCCTGCTGACGTTGCAATCGCAGGCCTCTTTGAGAAACTTTTGCATGTCTTCGATCAAGGCATCGTCGTTGTACTTGAGCCACTCGACAAGTTTCTGTTCGACGACGAGGTGCGAATGTTAGCTTGACGGGTTCCTAGGACATGCCTCCCCTACTATAAAGGTAGTCGGCAACGCGAAATACAACACTACGCAGTACGTACCTCGAGGTTCTCGGCCTTTAATTTCTCCGCATTTTTACTCACATCCGGTGGTGGTGCGATCCTGCCATTGGCTTCGAACTCATACCTCCTTCGACGGATGGTGCGCTCATCAAAGCCCAGAATAAAGCCGATGTCGTGGTTGGACAGTTTGTCCCTGAGAGTGAGCATCCTTTCAAGAAGGACTCTCTGGTCCTCGGTAAACCGCTTGCCCGTCATGATGGAATAGCCACCTACGCAAGGGATTGATCACGTTCAATAGACATGCCGATTGCGACATGAGGTGTTGCCTAGGAGCGCGATGGTTGTAGCAGCCGTGAGAGTGATACCAAACAGCGTTAAGCAACGAAGTGAATGACGGACATTGAATTGCTTATCCCCGGACGGACATTCAGTAGGACGGGCTTGCACGGGGTTTGCTTAGTTGAGATGTGCGGCGGCCTGTCCGCACTTGGCAGTAAGGTTTTTGATGGCACATCAATGCAGTGGCTGTCATATCTCTCTGTCAGGGTTAGGGTTTTGCTTTTAGGACTGTCGGTAACAGCGTGCCAACTCGCCAAACGAGAGTATGCAATCCAAACTTGGACCTTCACTGCACAAAAGTCACGAAATTCTTACAAGCAATAGCGATTTCTGAAACTTTCTCTAAATCCAAATGATCAGTAACGTATTTGATCCTGGTTTTCACTTACAGATAGTCAGTAGCTATGCAATAGGAGATGTTGATAGTCCAGGCCTAATCTGTCAGTACTTTACTAATCAACACCATTGCCCAAATTCTATATGAGCATTCTGAGCAAAGCTATTATCGCAGAAACCACCCAGCAATATAAGAATCAGTTTTGAAAAGGTAAAAGAGCATCTCATGTTGAAGTTCAAAGCCTAGGAGTTGGTGGAGCTAAACCGAAATGAAGCATTTGAGACGAACCGCCTAGGCGGGTAGGGCTGCACTAACAAAAGCACCAACCCCTGATTTGAATGATGTCAACCAGAATTTTGGTGCGGGGAACAGCATGGGATCCCCACTTTCTCCGCATGCGCTCCAAAACTCCCGCTTACCAGAAAAGCTCGGCCATGAGGCCGTCGACGTCATGCAACTCGAATACTGTCAGCTATCAGACCACTTTATTACCCCACCACAACCGACACTGGCTCGTACCCACCGCTTAATAGTAGTAGTGTACACTACAGCATAGGAGCTCAAGAGCGATCTGTCGGTCCTTTATGCCACTTCATCCAATCATGGAAGAAGCAGGAGATGCCAAACATTACGACTTGTTGGGCCGGGGACGTCGGTGTACAATGTTTATACACTAGCGGGCCGTCAATCCTTCCTCAATCTAGACGAGCCGAACCAAGCACTATGACATGTCGTCGTGGTCCAGCACACAAGGAAGAGGGGCCGCTAGAAATATGTGTTCAGCGCTCGAATAAAGGTTGAAATAAGACGCCATTCTCGCTCACTGGTGAACCCGTTTCACCCTCACATGCTCCTCTGCCCTGGCGATACCACGAATCCAGGACGCCGACCTCATCAATAACCGAGGAACTAGAAGAAGCACTAGCTTCTGCTTCCCCATCGTAGCCCACCATGAAGGACGTCGAAGATATTCACCGTCCGATGCTTAACAGCCTCCAGAGTACATCAGCCAAAATGAAGAAGATTGTCCTCTCAGTCAATGCTGGATCCTCCTCCGTCAAGATCTCAGCCTACAGCGCTCTCTTTGGCCAAGCGCCCATCCAGCTTGCCGAAGCCCAAATAAGCGGCCTGACCGCACCACCTCCCACCCTTCGATACACACGGCATGGCGAGAAAGTAATCAACGACGAGGAAGTTAAAGACCAAAAGGTGTCCACCCAAGCCGATGCCTTCGATATCCTCGTCAAGGCTTTGATCGACGACAATGGTGTCCCCGAGATCAGCAGCAAGGAGGACATCGCCTACGTCTGCCACCGCATCGTCCACGGCGGAGACTTTGTGCGGCCCAAGCTGATCTCGGACGAAACCTACCACAACCTCGAGAAGCTAAACGACCTGGCGCCGCTGCACAACTCCACCAGCCTCGTCATCGTCCACCGCTGCATGAGCGACATGCCCAAGACGACCTTTAACATCGCCTGCTTCGACAGCCAATTTCACCATACCATCCCCGAGCACATCCGGACGTACCCCATCAACCAGGACATCGCGCGGAACAACCATCTGAGGAAGTACGGCTTCCACGGCATCAGCTATGCCTTCATCACCCGTGCCACCGCCGAGTTTTTGGGTAAGAAGGTCGAACATGTCAACATCATTGCTCTCCATCTCGGATCCGGAGCGAGTGCGTGCGCCATCAAGGGCGGAAAGAGCCTTGATAACAGCATGGGATTGACTCCCCTAGCTGGACTTCCTGGTGCCACGAGAAGCGGGAGTGTCGATCCTAGGTTAGTTTCCGCTTTGTCCTATTTTTTTTTTTTTTTTTTTTTTTTTTTTTTTTTTTTTTTGGCCCCCAGAGATGTCATCTTCCCCACCCCCTTTCCCCAAACTAATCCATCTTTTCCCACCCCTCTTCCAGTCTTGTCTTCCATTACGCCAGCGACGTAGGCAAGCTCTCTCCGGCCTCCACGAAAGATCTCCACATCTGCCGCGCCGAAGAGATCCTCAACAAGCAATCCGGCTGGAAAGCTCTGACGGGCACCACCAACTTTGGCACCATCACCGCCGCTTTGGACCCCTCCTCTTCAGACACCACCTCCCATTTATCTCCAGAGGAAGTCGCCAAAATGCGTCTAGCATTCAACATCTTCGTCGAACGCATCTGCGCCTTCATTGGCGCATACTACGTCTCGCTCCAAGGACAAGTCGACGCACTCGTGTTCGCCGGAGGCATCGGTGAGAAGAGCCATCAGCTGCGGGCAGCGGTCGTTGAGCAGGTTAGCTGTCTTGGGTTTGGACCCGTAGATAAGGAGGCGAATGAGACGAGGGTCAAAGAGAAGTTGGATGATAGTCATGATGTTATCGAAATTGCTCCTCCAAACTCAAAGAAGGGGAAAAGAGATGGGAGAGAGCATAGGGTATTGGTTTGCAAGACTGACGAGCAGTTTGAGATGGCGAGGGCATGTGCCGAGGATGGGGAATTTTGGCGATGAGGTGGTGCAGTGCGTGGTGGTGGATGGAGGGTTTTCGATAGAGGGGGGAGGAAACTTCGATTTTGGCAGAAAGAAGAGTTCAAGTTGAGAGAGGAAACGGAGACTCGGTTGGAATGAGAGCGGGCAAGTTCAGTTTGTTGGACATCGACGTCTCTGGGAGGTCAAGCATGTTGACAAAGTAATAAAGCACATGCATTGACCAAAGTTGCTCGAGATCCATTTTGGAAAATAGGGTTCAGATGAAACGAAACGCTTAGTTAGGCCTGCATACATGCGTCTATTTCCTTGCAAAGCACGTTGAGGTGCCAGCTCCAGCCAGGAGTACGCATCTGCCGCTAAGTATATCTGCCTGTAACAGTGTGCAGATGTAGGTGCAGGACCTTTAACGAGTAACAGACGAAAAACGACGACACATCTACATGTTGATGCACGGTCTTCGCCTTATACGCAAAAAGGTTGGAAGGGTGGAAGAGTAGCTATCCTGCACCTAGCATCTTGGTGATGAATTATGACCTACCTCTTGATAAACATTTTGCGTACTTACCCTGGAACGGTTTTCCTGGAAAACAAATAGCCCGTGCTAGTTATGCCCATAGACGTAGTAACATTACCTGTTGATCACAGGGGAAGAGTCTAGCGTCATCATAGGAAAAGTATTGTATGTATGGACAATTTGTCAAGCTTGTTATTGGTCCTTCAACTATATAAGACGCTGTGTGTATTGTGTAACCAAGAAGAGGATATCAATGCCAGTTGCAAACCCTAAAATTGATACACTTGGACAGTAGAACGCCAAGCCACTCATTCCATACGGCCACCATCCTGATCGGCCTGTTGTCGGATAGATGACGAGAAGAAACAACTTCACCCCTAATTGCGCCGTACCCTAAGCAAATATACCCCTTGCCCTCTTCCATGTTGCCTAATCCCAGTTCATGTTGATGATTGAATGCAAGAAACAGAAAAAGAAAAAAAAAGAAGAAAAAAAAAAGGTCTCCACCATGCGTGTACATGACCTCTAAATTGTAAGTGTGTAATCCCAGGCAAAAAAAGGCCTTTTTGACAAGTACCGACCCCAGTAAGATATTGCATGCTTCGCAACACAAGAGAATAGCGTGAGGGTTGTTTTGTACCATTCCCTATAGGATCCAAGACAACGGAAATGTGAGAACCCGCGTCGTAAAAGCGAAAGCGCGGCGGATACGTCATGTCTGACAGCAAACACGCCTGTCAGCTGGCAGTGGCGAGACACAAATGCTCAATCCTCCGAGAAATACCGACGCAGATTTAAAAGGAAAAAAAGGGTCATATTAAAATGTAGAGTTGACTAAGAAGACCCTTCTTGGCAGGCGACTGCCATAGCCAGAGCGTCTAGCCCGCTACTCGGCGTTGGCACGGCGACCGAAGGGCTCAGAAGAGGAAGGTTAAGTCCACGCATGTCCCAGGCACTCCCAACCCCAGGTGTGAGTGGTAGTGTGGCCGGGCTAGCGGCAGCGGCGACGGTTGTTACTGATGTTGTTGACTTGGATCGGGAGGACTTTCCTGAAGAAGAAGGCTTGCGCTCTCCAGCTAGAGATGGCCGGGTAGATGAGCGCGACTTGTCCTTGTAGTGTGTTTCCAGATGCTGCTTCATGTTGTCGGCCCGTGTGAACTTCTTGGTGCAGCCTTGAAACGAGCAGGGGACCGCCTTTTCGGCAGTGTGAATCTTGGAATGCCTCGAAGCATGGCCGGATGTAGTGAAGGTCTTCTCACAACCATGGCTGTCCCGATACCTGCACGGATAGCGCTTACCGGCCCTTTCGGTGGCTGCCGGGCTGGCAGCATCATCCTCATAAGACATGGACCTGCTGTCGCTCATGGTGCGCGGCCTCTTCGCACCAATGTAGCTGTGAGCGTCGGAGTAGTCCTCGTAGGGCCGAGTATCGATAGGGTAACCCCGGCTATAGTCATAGATGGGAGTCATGGGAGAGATGGGCTCGTTGCTCATTTGAGAGTCATAGGAGTCGGATCGAAGCAGCTCTGGAGTGTTTGGTGACGACGAGATACTCCTGGTCAAGGCGGGGTGGTAAGGTTGTCCAAAGCTGGATGGCGCGCGGTAAGGCATGGGCTGATACTGGACCTGGGGAGCTTTTTGAGGCTCATCATCGTTGAGGAGCTGGACAGTGTGTCCATTGGCGTCCCTGGCGAACATGATGGTAGCGGTAGCGCGCAAAGCAAGGCCGGATGACGGATAAAGATGGGGCGGAGATGGTCCAATAATTGTGGACTCGGCGGAAGGCGGAGGATCGACGTCGGCGGAAAAGAACCGAATGGATTGCAGAAGACCAAAAAGTTACAAGCTGATAGAAAAAGTTACTCTGGCTGAGAACAGGCGCAGCACACAACTTCCGAAGCAAGTTTGGACCGTCGTTGGTTTGCTTCTGTGAGGCTCTCAGAAAAGGCGGTGCAATGTAGCTAGACGCTTAGGTAAAATGGCCCGCGCTGAAAACTTTTCGCTGTCGGTTGCCGAATGTCGGGAAAAAAAAGCTCAAAGCTCTAACCACGGATTCTGTCCTGGGTGATGTGTGGTGAATGCAATGGGTCGGTAAAGGTAGGACCGATACTGTATCTGTCTTTGTCGTTTGTTGTTGACTGGATGTGGTGACTGTATGTATACTCCTAAGATGGGTGGGCGAAGAAGTCGGCGTCCTGTGGACGGATGAGACGGACGGTGAGGATGAATGCTTCTTGGATGGAGTAGCGAGCGGAAGATGAAGACAGGAACGAAGAGGAGGATAGGCTGGATAATGAACCCTTTTTTATGAAGTGAAGGAGGGCACGGAAGGCACGGGACAGCCGGTGTTAATAAAGGGAGGCACGATGAGCTCTCGGTCGGTCGCTGGTGCGTCGCTCAGGCGGGCTGGCGGACATCCGACATGGGAAAGTGACCGGGCGCGCTCAAACCCCATTCTCAATCCGTCTTGCATCCTGGGAACCCACTTGGCGTCCATCGCGCAGGGGTGTGTTTCCTAGATTGTGCCATTGTTGCGGACGGCCAGCGAGCGCAGCGAGGGGCTGCAGGTTGAGCAGCCGCCAGGCGTGAAGATCCCTGCGAACCGGGCAGCTACTCCCTACGGTACCTTCCAGTGTGTTCCTGAGACCGTAATCTGTCAGGTATTCCCGTAGGTACCGTTCAGGTACGTACCTCCCGTCTCCCTTCAGCGCTGCAGTGAGGAGTGCTGAGGGCAGCACAGTATAAGGGCGTATCCCGCCAACCCACCGTTTATGGAATAATGTTGGCACTGTCCGGCCATCGCCCCGTCCAGGCATCGCATCGCCGCGCCCATCGTTAGTCGCATCGACCATCACCGGCATCGTCTTGTCTCTCCACTCACTTTCCCAGCAGCACCTTGGCTTGCGACACGAGCGATGACCTGGACGAGAAAAAAAAACCAACGCTAGTAAGTAAAATCCTGACTGAGTGTATTCGTTGCATGACTCCCCGACACGAAGGGACTGCAAACATACGGCAAAAGTCCAAACTAGGTAGTTGTAGTACGGGAACCATGTTCGAATGGCACGCAGCAGCGCGGTTTTGCAGGCCTTTGTGCGAATTCAGACATCACACTCAGGCCGCGTTTGAAAATATGCAGAGAAAAAGGAACGGTGTCTCTGTTGTGCAAAGGATCATGTCGACTCCAAGTACCCTACAAGAGAGGGTCTTCCCGCAGGCTAATTGATGTTCTGTCACAGTTGCCGTAACATAATCATTACGCTTATATTCCCGTTTTCGACAACAGCCAACCTTTGCAAAAACTTAAGCCTGCACACCCCGCTCACGCCTACTGTGTACTCATCCAATCCTCTCAACCCCTGCTTGGCTGACATCCCGGCGGCATGCGTCGCCCTAGAGACCAATTCAGCTAGCTGCAAAATTATGGGTTGCCCCAGGATATACGAACTGGGAACGATGACGAAATTCTTGCTACATCTTCCCCACGACCGACCGTTTGCCCTCTCCGGCGCGACAATCGTTTAGGAGCGAGGGCCCTGTGGGCGTTGTCTTCGTCCTCTTTCCCATGGCAGCGCCATATGGATACCAGCCAGGTGTAATATGCCAGATAGTACCTGTGTTCCGCCCACTTTTAAGGGTCCTTGGGTTGATGTTGAAGAGGCCGTCTAATGTGGATGGGATACGGAACTTGGGGTTGGATGCTTGTTGAGGATGTGATCAAAGGGATCAAAGGGTTCAAATTTTTTTAAAAAAATGTAAAAAAAAAAAAGAAAAAAAAAAGAGCTCTTTTTGGGTAAGTTGCAACAGCTCCGCTAGTAAGGAAAATCCCATTTTCGGCACTAGCACCGGTACTTTGTAAACTACATTGCTAGCTAGATCAGCGCCGGAGACACGGATGGGTGTGGCTTCCTTGATTTGCACATCATCGTGGGGAGCGTCTAGGGGAGGAGCAGATCAGGTACATCGAGACCACGCAAGGCCACCCGCCTGTAGCATCCAGTACTATGCAGTCTGCTAGTGTACAAGGAGACAACGGGCTGGCGGCAGACACACGCACGCACGGAGGCCCGGGGCCCGGGGCCCGGGGAAGGTAGTATGAATCCCCCCCAGCATGCCGATTGATTGGCTGCTGGCTTGCGGCTTTGGGTATCGCCAGGAAACCAGAGATGTGAATCGATATCTCTCTTTGCTGAAATCTGGATCCTCTCCCCCAGCTATCCTTCCACCCCCTTCTTCCCAAACCCTTCAACATCGCAGCTGATATGGCACCGCCTAGACGGCCATGGCTAACAGGGTGGTGGGCGATCATCATGGACATTTCCAAACCGAGTCAGCATCTCCTCAACAACACCTTGTTTGGGTGCCAATAGTTGCTTCCTCCGTACAGGGATAGCTTCCAAGCCAAACTAGGCGGCGGCAGCTTGGAATTTCGGAGGGAATTCCCATTGAGCATAGTGCAGTTCCTACCGGGCCCGGGCCTTCTGGTACACTTTCCCACTACGAGTCACCTCCTTGATAGTTTAGAGCCCCTATCGAATTCGCCAAGGGTATCCCAGACCTTGCTGGCTGTCAAAGACGACTTGGGGCTCAGAGAGACATGCAGCTAGCGTGTCGCGCACCGTCCCCTCTGCTCCCCATCCCACGGCAACAACCGACCAGTGTACAGCTCGCGCAAAAAGGCCAATATTTGAGAAAAAAAAAAAAAAAAAAGAGAAAAAATAGGATGACGTCAGCGGCGGCAGCGAAAGGACCCCAGCTTTGTTTCTCATAACAGGCCAGAAGCCGACACGCTTAACAATGAGGTATCCTAACGACATCGGCAATTTCCGTCTTTTCCATGCTGACACCTTCTGGTGATAGTGGGATTGGGAAGCTTAATCTGCTACCTCGGCGTGGCTATCAAGCTCTTGCACAGCACTCGTAAGACCCCTGATACTGGAGGGGGCAGGCCACACATGTTATCAATGCAGGGTTCCGTTGCTCGGAAAACAAGATGTTTGGTTACCTGCCCTCAGATTCAGAAATCTCACAAGTAGGTGAATATACACAATGACAGACGGATAGAGGCAGGATGAAACGCAGTCAAACCCAGGGTTCGGAGCTGCCAGCCATATGTTCCCGCTGGTGTGCCTGTGTGTGTCTCGCAAGACCTCATAAAGTCACTGGCCTGCCCAGGACCTACATACCAGACCTACATAGCTGCATCAAGCTTCTGAACCCGTTTACCCCTGAGTTTGGAGGCAGTATCCTTGGAATTTTGACTCGTGATCCCTTGTTGTTGGCCATCGGCAGGGAAAATCGCCATGATGCACAACAAAAGGGATGGAAAAGTGGCTGTTGGTGCTGAGACAGATAGGCACAAGGGGAAAATCACGAGGAGCACAGCAAAGCAAAAGCTTGGAAGACGGATGGATTCATGGATGCTTGAGATCGAGCGATTTGGTAACGTGGCATTGACAGCCCCGGGATGGCGCGGCGTTGGTTGTCACGGTTGTGCAAAAATTGTCGATAATCTCGATATTCCAATCCACCAAGAGCCAACATGGCAGCAGACAGCAAAGACGACGCTACGGGGCAATAGGGACCGCGACTGGCCCATCTGCTCGTCCACTTCTTTAGCTTCTCATCAATTCCTGGCTGTCGGTCTTCGTCGTACCAGAAATCGCCATGGGCGGCCCAGAGCTACCCCAGTTGAGGGACGAATTCTGAATTGCAATGCCGATGGACAAGCCAATAATCGGAAAGTTACCGATCGAGGTTCCTGAACCCTGCGCCTCATGTGGAAAAGAATAGAGATGCGTTGGTTCCTTTCCGAAATGGACGCCATCGGAGCCTCAGCAACGTCTCCGCACACAGTGAGCGAATTGCCCTTAGGTTCTTGGCAATCTGTATAGTATGGCCTGTCCACACGATAGCTTCGTAATCGGCACGGTACCTGTAGTCCACAGAGCACAGTATGCCTAGGCTGATATACACTACTATCGTAGAATTGGGTAGAATATTTTCCGAATCTTAAGTAGCGAGCTGGCGATACATTTGTATTTACACGTGTAGCCGCCTGCGACAAGCTATCCACACCTCAAGGGACCTTGGCTGATGTGCAGACCAACTTTAATAGCTCGTTATGTACCAGCAGTCAAATTACGGCCGCCGCGGATCTCCTAAAGAAGGAATTTGTTGTCATTGATTCATAGCGTGTAGAAACCAGGAACGAGAGACAAGACTATCCACGAGACATTAACAACAATCGGGCGCAACGGCTATAGACAGGGAGTCATGTACACTTATATCCCTTACGAACGGCCAAGGGTCTATCATTCGATCCAACTCGGACCATCCGGCTTCCTTGAGTTGAAGATGCACTGCAGTTAACGTTGTGCGTAATAGTAGCTGAAGAGGAGTTGTGCTCCGGCAGGAAGTGGTATAACTACGCTGGCTATAGCTCCATGAGTTTGTACAGACATTATACAGCTAAAAACGCTCCACGGAAGGCTGAACATTCGGGTGGTGGGTAGACGTCATCATTGTAGCGGCCACATAGTACATACCCTGGATTGTTGTGCTGTCTTCATTTCCCCTCTTCTGAGTGCAAAGATCAAAAGCACAGTCCGCCGTCGTCTGTCGTTCCTTCCCTGTCCACGCGCATCAAAATGTTTGTCCCCACCCACTGTACATATTCTCCGCATTTGAAATCCCCAAGTCCTGGTAAGAAACGGTCGTATCTACGCAGTACTAGTGCTTTGGCTAGTCTCGAGAACAACATGGACCTATCTTGATACCGCTCTCTACTTTGTAGCACTAGGGAGAAGTTTAGTCCAATAGCTAATTACATGAAGGTGCTCCGACATCTTTTTTTCTGACTAAATGGATCAAAATAGGTGGACGTGAAAAAGGATCTCAAGTACAAACTTTAGCTATATTTACACTCAAACTCGACCGACGAGAGCGGGATATCAGTTCATGATGGCCCGTTACCAAAAACTGATGTAGTCAGGCAATAACACCAAAGTTTAGGGACAAAAGCTCCGGCCGTATGTGAGGGGTTGTGTCAGGGGTCCAATTCTCCGCCTGTCTATTAAAGAAAGGTCCCAATTACACGGAAGCGACGCGATATAGCGATCATGATGAGGGTGAGAAGACTAATCTTTGGTACTGTGCAAGTATACTACAGACAGGGGCTGCCTTACGGGAATGTAATCGAGTTACTATAGTACAGTACTTATTTTTTTTTCTCCCTTCGTGACCCTCCCTTTCACAGCGCCTTCCACTACAGCCGCCACGTCTCTTTGGCTCCCGTTTTTAGGCGAGGGGAAGGGTTCAAGGGATCGCAACCCCGAAAAGCCCGGGCACAAGCACAAGCATAACCTACATACACGCGATACATACTATGCAGGACACGCACTTGTGCTAGAGCCTAGGGGCCTGAATGGATGAGGTAGTTTATCATTCTAGAAAACTATGTATATAAAAATGCCGGTGCGGTCTCCAGCTGTTTGATGTATTTCCACTTGAATCACCTACTACTTTCAAATTTAGTACGTAGTCCCGTGACTTCTCGGCGACAGCGGTGGTATCTCCTCTGAGCTCCTCCTCTTTCCTCCGAGGTTCCTTGTTATTACTTTAGTGAGAGTGCTTGCGTGATAGTAACTGCCCTGTGGTGCCAATTGTGTGCCGTGTGTGCCTGCCCCCCCAATAGCCAGATCCAACCAAGTGTTGGGAATGACTGCATGCGGTGCTCTAGTGAAAAGGTTTGATCTGTACTGAAAAAAAGAGAGGTGCTAGTGTGATGTAAAAAAAGTCCGGACACTCACTGGGTCTGATTCGGTATAATCGTGTCCGGACTATTGTTCACATCTACATAGTATGTCATGCCACAACTGCCACGGCCCTCGACGGTTCGCAGGCCAAGTGGGGCTTCCCGCATTTCGCCCACTTGGCCCGCTTAGCACGCTTGGCAGGACCCGGTCAATCAGGGTCTTGATGCAAAAGGTCTCGATCTAGGCCCAAAATCTCGATCTGTCGTCATAATGGTAGCGTTCATCCTTCACTCACTCTGACAGCCGACCGTGTCAAAAACTTCGATGGAAGACCCTGGATCCGATTCCTAAAGCCTTTCGTCATTTCCGTCATGTGCGATGCCCCAGTTTGTTCCAAGGAAACTTGAAACCGTAAAGGGACTCAAAGAACGCTCGCATTCCGTACCTTTTGAACAACAGTCGAATTGCTTTATGTGCCGTAGTCTAGACTTTGCTTTCATATCGACCACGTATATGCGGTATCAGTATTGTGCCCGCCTACTTCGCTATAGATCAAAAGACAAAATGGCATAGATGCTACCTTGCCCGGCCCCATGTCTTCCTTCCCACTTACGACGATAGCACCGGGCCGACACAACATTCTCATCCCGACTGACCCTTTGATGCCAGCCTACCGCGCCAGCTCGGCCAACAGCCTCGGGTGGACAGGTGGAAGGGACCAAGGAATCCGAGGCCATCCCGATCCGGAATGAAAAACGCGCCTTTTGTTGGAATATCGAGATCTACCGTGCGTACATAGCATACAACCTATCAAAGTGGCTTTCAAATAAATGTTGATCTGAAATCCGAGTCTCACGTACTGTGTGTATCAATAGCGTCTATCAGGCACATTGGCAATTTTGTTTCCACGAGAAAGGAAGAAAAAAAAAACGATAGATTGGAACAGCACTGCTAACCCTACATCACATTTGAATCACCGAAAGTATTTATACACATACCTCTATGTAGATATGCGTCCACCCATCGGCGCCGTCGACATCGGCTGTCAAGGACTCTAGACCCTGACGCCAACACGACGACAGGACCCTGAATGCCTCATGCGGATCTCATATAGTACTGTAGTAGTGTAGAAGCCTAACAGCACGGACGACCAGCGTACATCGTGCTTGCCGTTTGACCGTTGGCCGTTGGTGCGTCTTTGGAGCTTAGCGTACAAATGGTCTTTCTGCCCAGTGGGCTCATGCCGCGAAGAGATCGTGAGATCACAACCGTACACTGAACGACGCACGCAAAACGAGCAGCACCTGATAGTCAGTCATTGATGTGATATATACGATATGGATTGTAGGGAGCACCTATCTTTGATGTATACACACATCTGCACAATGTACATCCCTACTGTCCTCAGCTGTGGAAGATCCCCGGGTTCCATCACACATATGTAGCTAGGTATTATGGTGTTGTGGGTAAGTTCATAAACCCGATGGTCCCGTCGCAGACGATCTTGGGCACTCGAGTGGCCATACAAAGCTGCGAAGCTTTCCATGCTCGTCGTACTGGTTCGTGCTCGGTACCTGACAGGGTCCAGGAGGTGGTGCCTGACAGGGGAGGTAAAACATCAAGTTTTGCTCGCAACCGTAGGGCCTGATTGTTTCCTTGTTGCCCTGAGGGGCCCTACAAGGGTGGGGCACTCGGTACATACTGCGGTTGCGAGCCAAAGTTTTACCTCCCTGTCAGGTATCTCACACAGACCACCAAAGCCAGAGCTTCGTGGGCACTGTGTGTCCAACGACCTGATCCACGGGTTTAACTTACCCATCTCGCCATAGTAGGTAGACAATGGAAACCAGGGACGGCGCCGGAGCAGCCTCTCCGGCGGCTGCACCTTACCCATCCCTTCGACGGTGAAAATTTGACGTTTTACATAGTAAAACGTATTCCGCAGGAAAATGGGAACCGCCGATTGGCTTCAACATGCAGGACGCTAGAATGTCAAATTTTCACCGGTAGACGGATTCCAGCCATTGCCGAACGGATACCTGTCAGCACCTCTACCTCTACGTACACTGCCTACTATCTGCTACCTACATACTTGGTAAAGTATCTACAGTGATGGTGCCTGACTGCCTTCTCAGTTGCTTCAACTGCTCACCATCAGCAATCTCGCTGGTGATGTGATATGTTGTTGTAAGTGCCCTGCACTCCGTGATTCCGAGGTAGAGGTATGCCCTACACTGGGGACCTGCGCCAAATTTCGAGAGGCACATGTCGGGGAACATCTCATCTGAACGTTACACGGTTGGTCCCTGGAAACGGAGTGGAATGTTCGGATTCCCGGTTTTGTGAACTCGAGGAAACGGGAAGCCGGAAGTGTCAGGCGGAACTGCCTTGACGGTTACCTCCGTGCAATCAACTTCCCATCTCATCCTCCGAACAATCCTGGTATCAAGTGTTCACTATTGTATGTATGTGCTCGCACGGAAACAAGGCTGCATTCCTAGACAAGGACAATACCAGCATCAGCACACACATACATTTACACGTTCATCAGCATCATTATCATCATCATCATCAAAGCAAAGGTATCGACGCAAGATTACCTGAGGGTCCTTTCCTATCGCCCAGCAACGCCTCCGGCCGATATCAACTCCTCGAGATGAAAGGCAGCTCAGGCAGCCGCGCCCAGCTCAGCCTGAAGTAGCACAAGCGATGACGAACCGCCACGCCTTGTTGCGCCCATCATGGCTTTAAACAGAATCACTGCGAAATTGACTGATAGGCACGATACGATTTCCCTGGATGATCAACGGCAGCAGATCTTCGGCCCTGATCTAATTCAGCAGATCAGCCCTTCTCTAGGAGTGGTCCTTCTTCAGCCGAGCCTGGAATATCGGGCCCGCCGATCCGTCAAAACCCGTAATGGGAAAAGACAGAGCATGGGAATCTCGAGAACAAACGGTGCTTCCCTCATCGTGTTTCTCATGATAAGCGGAATCTGATCTTGCAGGAGCTGGTACTAGTCGAAATCAACTGTTATTGATCCGACGGTGAGTATCATCATATCGGAGTTGCGTTTCTTACCTCAGTCTGATGCAGAAACAAAACAGACAAGAAGTCTTTGATCACCATCGAATGACAGCGTTATCCAAGCAGCCAAGGTCAAAAGCCAAGGCGGCAACCCCATCTGGTCTCAAGCTACAGCATATCAATGATGCCATCAGCGTCAATCGGTAAAACCGGGCGTTTGAATGAGTGAACGTGTATTACTCCGAAAGACAGACGTGAGGACCACCTAGCCAGTTGTGTTGAAGAAGTACTCATCCTAAAGGTACTTATGCTGCTTTCAAATCAAATCCTTCCACTGCAGTTTCATAGTTCAACAGAATTGGTGCGTCCTTCCTCTTCTTTCACCGAACGCAGTCGCTGAGATGGAAGATTATGTTTCCATGTGCGCTTCTTGGGCAGTCGTCGTCAACACCCACCCGTCACCCACCCTTGGCGGCGCACAGCATAAAATTCAAAGGGATCCCTGATGGCCAGCGCAATAACGCCGCTCAACTCAAAAGTCCTTGGCAAATAGTGCTTGCCGAACCGAAAACTCTCGTTTCGCTACAAAAGAAACCTCTGCAACTGCATCCTTGTGTAACTTGCATCCTCCAGAAATTGTAGTGTATACATATACACCGAAATATAGCCTCAAACTGCCTGCGTAGGCGTGCGCGGTCACGAATCGCTGTCTCCCAACAAAAGCCAGCTCTCTTTTTTTTTTTTGGAACGTATCATCTGGTTAGTGTATAGCTTTTGGCCATCGCCCATAGTATCTGAATTGCATGCAATTTCAGGGAATTCTACTGTACCTTCGATGCAACAATCATCCACCTAAGTGGTTTAATAACAGGAATCTGATGCCTTCCTCTTACCGTCAAGCAGAGACAGCCAGGTCGAGCAAAAGATCGCTTGTCAAGTAAGATTACCATGTGCCAGCCATATTCCCTATGCAGTAGTACTACTGGTGCGAAACGGAGAGGTCTTTTTTTTGTCCCTTTTCCTTCTTCTTCTCATCCTGGGCGGGCCATACAGCAGCATGCTTGTGTGCTGTGCATACATACAATGGATGTATAAGCACATCTCTGCCGGGATATAAAGGGTTAGCGTGGTATAGCTACCTTGCACTACAATATTCATGGGGGCCCAAGTTATGGTCACTTTGCCATTCACCGCGCTATAACCTTTTGAAGGCCTGCAGAGGTGTGTACACACTACACTAGTAAGTAGCTTCCCATCCTCGCTTCGCCGAGCCGCCGAACTTTTCGCTGACAGAGCAGAGAGTGGAAGAAAGTTGTCTCGATTGCTCATCCAACACCTTTTGTGGGAAGGATGACGGGACCATCCGCAACAGGAAAAGAACAGAAAAAGCAAAGAAAGAGCAATCTGTTTGACCCCTTCTTGCCCCTCGCTAGGGTCTTTCCCGGTGCATGACTTTCCGCCGCGATAAGGACGGCAACCCAACCCAGCCAATGCTATAAGGAACATTCACGCCCCTTGTCATTCGTCAAGGATGTAAGAGGTGTGATCGAGAAAAAGCATTCAATGGCACAGAATGCCGTGGGGCTTGGGATACCTACTCGACTTGGCTTTCCAGGGACCTGCAGTAACATCCCGATTTTGTATTTTGAACATGAAAATGCAGCTTGCAGCTATCCATCTATATTTCATGGTGTAAGTGTATGTTCATGTGACTCAGCCTGAAGTTAGCTCGGGATGGCATCGCCATAGAATACCTAGGTTCCATTCAAGAATGCACAGGACTTCAACGAACAAAATTAATTTCCCACGGCAGGCAGAAAGAGGTAGGTGTGATGACGCTCCCTTAGCTTTCCGTCCCCCATGCAGATCTCGATGATGGAGGGGCAGTGAACCTTTGTCTGCTGGAGGCGAACCGGATAGTCAAGAAAAAGAGCCAGTTATGTATGGGGATGGCTTGGACGGCTTGCGAAGACAGCAGGGGAGGACAGCCGGAACTAGTGTCGTGTATTGTGCACCTGCCTCTAGACTCCCACCGAAAAAAGCGAAAAGGCGAAAAAAGAAGAAAGAGGCGAAGAAAGCCCTGCCTTGACAAAAGAAAAAAAAAAAAAAAAAAAAAAAAGAAAGGGGATCCATCAGATCGAGATGTTCTCGAAAAAATTCAGTATGTAACTGTCAGTCCCCGCTCTCAACCACTGCAAAGATCATCGGCCGCACAAGGCACCATGCAACTTAACACTTGACCCCTTCTGACCCCTTTCTTTTCTTCCCTTGACCCTTGGATAGTCCTGTGATACCATGTACAAGCGAACCAGCGAACTGTGGAATGCGGACACACACGCACATACGCACACACATCCATCACATCTACACTACACTACACACTAGATACCCCAAGCTCCAGCCAAGCACGTTCCCAAGCTGACCATGGCATTCTGCGCTGTTGCTCTTGTGGAACATGGCAATTTTTTAAGAATGCCATAGTGCCAAGCATACAGGCCTACCGGATTCTGCGCGAATTCTGTTTAGGGCTAATGGGGAAAGTGATCAACACTTTTTGTTCAACAACTTTCCCGTCTGTGAGAAGTGGAAAACAAGGGGGGCACTGCGGGGCCCCGGTATGGCAATCTATTTGGTGCTTTACTCTCCCCCTCTATGTTTCCTCGTTCTTTTGGAGCTTGTTTTTCACTTTCTTTACTTTTTCTTTTTCTTCTTCTTTCTTTCGCCTTTTGTTCTTTTTTTTTTCTTTTTGTATTTTTTGTCTGGTGTTGTTTTTGCCTTTCCTTTCTTTCTCTCGAGGACTTGAGATAAAAGAGATTAGATGGAGCCCCACCCCCAAGTTGGGATCAGGTATGTATTACAAGCCAACGATACCCTTGACTACCTTGACTACTTCAAAAGATGTCCTAAACCGACATGGCACGATAGGATGCCATTCTACTTGTTGACGGTCATACTGACAGACAAGTATGTCGTGACACAACCGGTCTGGACTTCGTCTGCAGCCAAAGACAACAGACAAACGGACAAGCAGCGGCGCAACTGTTCTTTGTGTAAGGGCCGGTACTTCTGCGTGCCTTCTCTGTTGTTTGTGTTCGGAAGGCATGCCCTGGTGAGTGTCAGACGCACGCATAGCCTTAAACATGGCCATGCCGAAGGAAAGCATACCGTATACTTAAATTATTCGAGCCGTCTGTCTTCAGGGTCTCGGTATGCCTAATTGAATCAGGAGGATGTCATCGATGTTCTGTTTCAAAACAAACATGGGATTTTGTAAGATATACGGATTCCTATGTCTACATTATAGATTCACTAGCAGTCGTAGTGCATGAGACAGGTAAACTCGTTCCCTCTCCTATGAATTGGCTTAGGTTAACAGTGGAACATCAACACGATAAGACGATGCATGTACAGCAACATAACATCAACCAAAGTACAGGAGAAAAGCCTTTGTCGCAAATGGAATGTGATCACTTCCCTGAATTTCTTTCCCCCTAGCAGCATGGCCCTCAAAAAGTCGCCGAGTCCACGTTATGATTATAATCTAGAATGATATGAGTTGTGCAAACTTCAGCTTAGCCGGTATTGGCTCGGATACTTCCCCCCTTCAGAGTATCCAACTGACCAGGGACACACTGAGCCACCCCAACGGGATTGAGGTTAGGGGACTACGCTTGATCACTGGCGTGTACGCTTTCATCGGCCGGTTCGTCCACCGACTCCATGTACAGGTATCACTTCGTCGCTCCCGTATCTTGCCTCTTACTTGGGGGCAATGCAGGCTTCTTGAATTCACCGGCGCCACCCGAGTTGCCAACTTGGGTGAATGTGCCGCCCTTGAACCAGCGGTCCTCGTCGGCTTTGCGCTTCCTGCTAAGCTCGTATTGCACCTTTGGATCAACGAGCTCTAAGCCTTGCATAGGCGTAAACGCCAACGACGATACCGTTCCGGCGGTGGCGCTACCCACCGTGGTACCAACGCCTGACGTGCGCAAGCCCTTGCTGGCAGCCAAATTGATGTTGCCAATGCCGCTGCCACCGCCAGCAAGCCCTCTGAGAGATGATGCGGCGCCGCCATTGAGCGAGCTGGCGCCACCCCAGCCCTTGCTCTTTGCACTCAACTTGGCACGCGTGCGCTGGTCGATTTGCGTGACCCGTAGACGTCCATCGTCGCGCTGACCGATCATGCCCATGCCAGCAGTAGAATCGCCCGTGCCATAACCGACTTCCTTCTCCTCTTTGCCAAAGGCCATACGGTTCTGAGCCTTGCGCAATTCCGTCATGGCCGTGGCCTCCTTGGCTTTACGAGCACGTCGGCCACCACGCTTTCTACTCGGCTTGTCGTCGGGTGCCGGGAGAGCGCGTGCGCCCTTGCTGTTTGGCTTTTGCTGCAACTTATCTAGGCGGTCTAGACATTCGTCCTTCAGTCGTTCGCCTTCTGACCCATCCCTGAACTGGTGAAAGCAGTCGGTACGCGCGCACATGACAATCTTGTTTGCAAACATCTTCATAGCCTGTTTCTTGAGGTCGGTTGGAATCCCACGAATGATGTCTGACTGGTAGATGAAGCCCTGTTGTCTGATGCCGACATTGGTAGCAAGAGCAGAACTTGTCTGTTTCTTGGAGCCCCAAGCCGGGAGGTTGCAGGCCGGAGTTTTGGAAAGGCCAGTCAGGCCGCCGGCTTGGTTAAGAAGCTGTGCTGCTGTGAGGGAACCGATGAGAGCCGTCAAGTTCGGCGCAAAGATGTTCATGCGAGACTGTACGTACTCAGTGAGGGTCTTCTTAGCCTTATCAAGATCGACCACCATCAAGCACGCTTCTGTGACGCGCTGGATCTCATTTTCGCCCAGAAATTGGCCCTTGGAAACCGTAGCTTCCACCGTGACGATCATCAAGGTTGGTCCGTCAAGAACTGACTTGAGAGTTAACCCCAGGGGGTTATCGGTGGAAAGCTGCAACGCTTTCATGCTCTCCGAGTCCATTGGGGAGTTGCCCAAGATGGCAACAACCTTGCAGTATTCGATTGGGTTCGGTAATAGCGACTCGAGTGCGGCAAATCTGGCGGAGAAGTGATCCCTCACAAACTTGTGGACAAGGGCCACCTCACTGTCTATCAGAGTAGACAGTCTATTGGCGTTGGTCAAGAGGTTGTATTCCGGGTGATCTTCGACATGGCCGACGTCGTTGGCCTGAGCGGGTTGTGCTTGATAGTGTGCGATTTTCTGCAACGTTCGATCCAGACTGTCAGGGCTATTGCTCAAATAAGATGTAAACGCTTTTCCATGTTCAAAGGGAACACCGCAAACGGGTATAAGGGAACTAACCTCGAGTACTGGCTTCAGAGACTTCATAAGAGTCGCAACGGTTCGAACATCTCGCACTCCTCCCAGATGCATCTTCTCAACCTTGGCTTTTGCTTCCTCGGGATCTTCTACAGCATTCGAGTCGTCGGCACCGACGCCATCCATAGCTTCGTCTTCGTCCTCGCCCTCCTCGTCGCCCATGCCTTCATCTTGGTCCTCATCATTTATCGGTACATGTGCGTCGTCCACGCCTGAGCCTCCAGTCGTGTCAACACCATCACCTAGAAGGCCATCGCCATACTCCTCGCCACCGGCCTCGGAGCCAGAGTCCTCAAAGTCCTGGAGGAGCTCGTCGAGAGTGGACGACATATTGGCAAAACCCTATTTCCTGGGCAGAATATTCGGCGACTGTTGGGGTCTCAAGGTAGTTAGTTTCAGTAGTAAGCGGGATAGTCGCTGATACAGGTACAACAGCTGTCGTGCGCTGAAGAAAGGAATTGAAAAGAGTTCGATGTGTTGTCGTCGACTTGTTTTGGTTTTTGGGAAGAATGGAGGCAAGAGACCGCGGCGTTGCATCACGGCCTAGCGTACTGTGTAGACCTCATTGCGCCAGTGCTTTGCCTGCCGGTCGTACACAGTGCGGCGTGGTATGTGGCCGATAAGTAACTGGTGCAGTACTGCCTAGGTAGATAGTGTACGTGCTACCTCAACTTGGGTAGTTGGCAGCCACACCTGATACAGCGGCCTTCCAGCGGCTCAGCGCCGTCTTGTGAGCGCTAGGTCAGACATGTAGCTACTATCTACCTATCGGTACAATGACATGATGAGGGCAAAGTGTACCTACTGTGCAGCAAGGTAGGTATTTAGGCAGGGGCATCGAGCCACGGTCCATCAATCGCAGCGCGTCCTCAACCTGGTAGTTCAGTGGCTGGCTGCTGTTGCGTCCAGAGCCAAAATCTCATTAAGAAACCGAACTTACAACACCACGCCAACATCTGCAGATCGCCACTTTTTACGCTCATCTTCACAATGGAGTCATCGCGCGGCCCGCCACGGGTGAAGAATAAGGCCCCTGCGCCTGTACAGATCTCGGCCGAGCAGCTGCTGCGCGAGGCCGTCGACCGCCAGGAAGTCAACCTCCAGACCCCGACACAGCGCTTTGCCGACCTCGAGGAGCTCAAGGAATACCAGGGTCGTAAGCGCAAGGAGTTTGAGGATTACGTGCGGCGTAACCGAGTTCGTCTATCGAATTGGCTCCAGTATGCTCAATGGGAGCTAGAACAGAAGGAGTTTGCGAGAGCGCGCTCCGTGTTCGAGCGCGCTCTGGATGTACATCCCAACAATACTCGTATGTTTGTCTAAACTCAAAGTGTCCATGTGCTGTTGGTTGTGGCGCACATCAGTCGCTAACGATATGCTCAAACAGAACTCTGGATCCGATACGTTCAAGCAGAGATCAAGAACCGTAACATCAACCATGCACGCAATCTGTTGGACCGCGCTGTCACGCGGCTGCCCAGAGTCACGTCTCTTTGGTACCAGTATCTCTACGTCATGGAGATGCTCGGCGACATTCCGGGAACCAGACAAGTCTTTGACCGGTGGATGAAGTGGCAGCCAGATGAGCAGGCGTGGAGTGCTTATATCCGTCTAGAAAAACGATACGGCGAGTTCGACAGGGCAAGGGAGATCTTCAGGGCTTTTACCGCCGTCCATCCGGAACCGAGGACGTGGCTCAAGTGGGCCAAGTTTGAAGAGGAATATGGGACCTCCGACACGGTGCGCGAGGTCTTCCAGACAGCTATCCAGACAATTGCTGAAACGCTAGGCGACGATGCCGTTGACGAGAGGATATTCATCGCCTTCGCCCGGTACGAGGCCCGTCTGCGTGAGTATGAGCGGGCCCGTGCCATCTACAAGTTTGGCCTCGACAACTTGCCTCGGTCCAAGTCGATGACGCTACATGCCCACTACACCACATTTGAAAAGCAGTTTGGCGACAAGGAGGGCGTGGAGGACGTCATTCTCACAAAGAGGAGGAGACTGTACGAGGAGCAAGTCAAGGAGAACGCAAAGAACTACGACGTCTGGTTTGACTTTGCGCGACTTGAGGAGAGCGGAGGAGATGTCGACCGGACCAGAGAAGTCTACGAGCGAGCCATTGCTCAAGTACCGCCAACCCAAGAGAAGCGACACTGGAGGCGGTACATTTTCCTCTTCCTCTTTTACGCGATATGGGAGGAGAGGGAAACAAAGGATATCGGGCGAGCCCGCCAGATCTACGACACCTGTCTGAACCTGATCCCCCACAAGAAGTTCACCTTTGCCAAAGTGTGGGTTGCCAAGGCGCACTTCGAGATCCGACAGGGCCAACTAACGACGGCCCGCAAAACCCTCGGCCGCGCCATCGGCATGTGCCCCAAAGACAAGATCTTCAAGGAGTACATCCTCCTCGAGCAGAAGCTCTACGAGTTCGAGCGCTGCCGCACCCTCTACGAAAAGCATGTCATGTACAACCCGGCCAACTGCCAAACATGGATCAAGTGGGCCGAGCTGGAACGTGGTCTCGACGATCTCGAGCGCACCCGCGCCATCTTCGAGCTCGCTGTCTCGCAGCCGATCCTAGACATGCCCGAGGTGGTATGGAAGGCGTACATCGATTTCGAGGAAGAAGAGGGCGAGTACGAGCGGACGCGTGCCCTGTACGAGCGCCTGCTCGAGAAGGCCGACCACCCCAAGGTCTGGATCAGTTACGCCCAGTTCGAGATCAACATACCCGACGAGGCTGAGGAGGAGGAGGAGACGGAGGAGGAGGTGGAAGAGAAGCCTGTTAGCGAAGAGGCCAAGGCACGTGCTCGCAAGATCTTTGAAAGGGCGCACAAGAGCATGAAGGAGCGCGAGCTCAAGGCCGAGCGGGTGTCGCTGCTCAACGCGTGGTTGGCGTTTGAGAAGACACATGGGTCGGCGGAGGATATCGAGAAGATTCAGAAACAAATGCCTAGGAAGACCAAGAAGAAGCGTAAGCTGGAGGATGATACTTGGGAGGAATATGTCGACTATATCTTCCCGGCTGATGATCAGCAGACCAAGAACTTGTCGAGTCTGTTGGCCATGGCGAATGCTTGGAAACAGCAGGCCGCGGGGGGTGCTGGTGGTGCTGCTGCTGTCGATGAAGCGGCTCAGTGAGGGAGGAGCTAGTGTAGGAGATGCAATATTATGTCAGGCCGCAGACCAAGAAGCTCATGAACTTTTCCCCCTGAATACAGTAACCGATATGGTGCGGATCTTTATTTCCACATATACATATCCCTTGAGTCGTTCTCGGTAATAAAGATCACATAAAAAACCCAAACCACGATAGAAACCCCATACTTTGATAAAAGGTGTGTATTATATTTTAACCAACTGCTTGGTAGGTTGTTCCATATCCCGTACGATTAAATATGGCTTTGTACATGTTGGGATACTCGGAGGATATTAGGTCTTCCTCAGCCGTCGAGTCTCAGGGTGGTCTTGACGTCGATGTCCAGCAATTTGTATTCATGGGTCCAAGAAGTATCGTTTATCTCCATGAAAGAAAATGACTACCGGCTTTCTCTCTATACATGTATAGTGATATTTCGCAAAGAGGCATACATTGTTTATCATTGTCATTCTCTCAACCTCTCGGATTTGATCTGTTTCTTCATCATCCTCATAAAACCCAACCTGTTGACCATCATCATCATCATCATGAAAAGGAAAGAATAGGTAGAAAAAAGTAGAAAGAGAACGAAAACATGTTGTGGCTGCCGCCCAGCAGGTGTAAGAAAGTTGGAGTAAGAGGTACAGAGAGTGGGCAAGGGTGGGAACAAGCTGCAATGCATGGATGCCGAAAGATAGGAAGTGTAAGGATGTAGGGGCCGACATAACCGCATGTTGTGTCCTTTGGCAGCCAGGCCAACCAACCACACGCCAAGTCTCGTGAGATCCAAATATCCATGTGTGTGACTTGCGAGCCAACCAGAACAGCTCAGACAGCCAGTGTGCGGCGCGTTTCCGTGCCGGTGCCGGCCGTTTCGGCACCGACCGACAACCGTTTTCCCATCAATCATCATTTCGCTGTTGCAGACTTGCAGTGGTTTGAGTGCGCGTCATTCCTCACGGTTCCTGTTTGTCGAGATTCAACATGCGTGCCTGAACTCAGTCGCACAACGCAAAAAACCTGCTTACAACCCCTGCCAAGGATCGCCACATTTCCCTGAATTTCGGGGTCTTCCTGTCTTTTTCGGTTCAATCGGTTCAGATAGTGGGGACTATGTTTAGCGACGGTGATCTGTTTGCGCAGAAAGCGGGAGAACAATTAGTCAACGGGTTAAACAACTGCATTTGATAGCTTTTCGTGTATGTGATGAAAAGGAAAAAAAAAAAAAAGGTCATGTTTATCGTAACCAAAGCATATCAGGAGGTGCAACAGCACTGTAATAAGCGATGAGGCATCGCAGTTTGGAAGATTTCCCCTTGCGCCTATGTCCAACCAAGCAGAGGGAGGGGCTGGGCTCTAACGGTCAAGGTGTTCGTTAGACCAGCATGAGCTCAAGCAAGGCACGCGCTCCCTCGCTCAAGTTGAGCAAACGCCCAGTAGTGACCAGATCTCTTGTTGTTTCTTGAGGTACCGCGTAGAATTGGGGATGCAAGAATGCAGATTGAATGTCGGGTCAGATTAGAGAGCACGGGTGACAGACGACGATAAAGCGGGCAATGGCAAACCTGCCCATAACTCATCTCCTGCCAGGACTGTTGCCCGATGGAGGAGAGGGATTGCGAGGCATGGCACCGTATGGATTCCCATCAGTATAATAGGGACCATCCTCCAGGCGAGTCGCCTTGGGCGGCGCTGAAGAAGACCAGTTGTCAGCCCTGCGTCTGCCGAAGTCGACAATGTCGCCACGGCCGTCCCCGTCAAAGTCATTTGCCTGGTTTGCCGTTGCCCGCAGTCTTTCGAGCCGTCTCTGATGCCTTTCCTCTTTCTTCTTCTTCCACTCATGCGTCTCATGCGTCACCTCACGAGCCTCCTTCATCTCCGAGATGGCGCCCTTGATGCCCAGGGCCGCGATGCCGACCGATGCGGCATCTTGCAGCATGGCTCTCTGCCTGAGCTTCTTGGCTTCTTCCGGACTCAACTCCCCTTCCCTCACTGCCTTCTTACGTACGCCGTGCTTCTCCACGCTTTGGTAGATGTTGTGGGCAGCGTGGATGGTCGCCACAGCTGCCAATCCTGTAGTAATCATTTGCTTACCTCTCATTTTCTTGGTTCTCTTCCTGTCATCGTCCGAATCTCCCAGGTCGGATGAGGAGACTGATCCACGCGAAGCATCGCGTCTCCTTGCCACAGTTCCTCCTCCCCTTGAGCGACTACGGCTGCGGCCGCTTCTGGAGCGCTCATCGTCTGAGTAGTCTCGGTGTCGGCGCCCGCTTCGAGAAGAGTCGGCATAGTCGTCGTAATGTCTGCGGTCGTGGCGGTCGCGCTCATAGTCGTCTGGCCCGTTTCCGATGCCTAGCTTGGCAAGGCCCTTGCGCGCCGAGTCGACGACGCTGCGGCTACGGCTGCGATGACGTCTATCGCGCGAGCCGTCGCGGCTGTCATATGAATCAGTGCTCCGGCGTCGGGACCTGGATCGGCTGCTGAGCTTGTTTGCAGCGTAGGTCCCGAGACCGGCAGTCGCGATAGCGGCGAGTCCGCCACCGGGGCCCTTGGACCGAGAGCGGGCACGAGACCGCGACCGAGAGCGACCGGTCTTCTCATCCTCCTCAATGTTCTTCTTGGAGCCGTTTAGCACACGGTTGCCAAGCAGGCCACCGATGACGGATTCGGCCAAACCGAGCTTGCTGCCCGCCTTATCGTCCTTCATGGCAGCATCAACAGTAGCAGCACCCGCTGCGGCAGTAAGGATGCGCTTGGCCTTTTCTCCCTTCCATCCACCCGGCTCCTTAGACACACGGAAGGCCTCGGTGGCACCGGCAATGAGGGAAGCCATGGCAGCCTTCTGGATCTTTTTGGCCGGATCGCCTCCGCGAGAACGAGATCTTGAGCGGCTGCTGCGGCGACTCCTGACACTTCTAGTATCGGATCTGTCATCTCTGCTGCTGCTGCCTCCCGCCAAGGCCTTCAAGGTGCTGCCAATACCAGCAGCGGCAAGGGCACTCTCGAGGAAGTTCTTGTGGCCCTTGTTGTCCTTGGCACTGACTTCGTCATCGTTGCGATACTCAAGTCTGCCGTCACGTCCTCTGAGGACCAGCGGAGCCTTCTTCTCCTTGTGCTTGTTGTAGAAATCTGCGCCTTGATAACCCGCAAAAGCTCCAGCAGCACCGATAGCGGCCGAGGCAAGAACATTGCGATGCACATCGGAACCATGCTCTTTGGCTTCCTTGCGGTCGTAGAGCTCCTTTCCACCTATGGCAATGGCGGCGCCGGCCAGCGCAGCGATAAGCTGCTCCTTGTTGCCCAAACGAGACTTCTTCTTCTCCTCTCGTCGGTCGTAGTCGTAGACATAGTCCCGGCCAGAGCGGGCCCGAGGATCATCGTGGTCGTCATAGTAGCCAGGCTCGGCAGAGCGGGCACGGCGCATATCCCGAGTAGAGTACCCGGGCGGCGGGAAATCACGACGGATCTCCTCGACAGAAAGGTCACTATCCTCACGTGGGCGTGGAATCAAGTCATGGTTGGCGTTGAGGTATTGGTCAGCAGCGCCGCCGGTGTACCGAGGGTCTCTGTCATCGCGGCGCTCCTCGCGGTAGTAGCGTCTTGTGGAGCGGGAGCGCTCCCGGGCCGGTTGGTCATACCGGTCGTATGATGCCATGTCGGAATATTCGGTGTTTGTAATCAGAAGTATTGTCGCTTGCTCGTTCCAGAGCTGTGTTCACAGATACGTTGGTGTTTGCTAGTATTGATGAAGAGCGGGGATAGTGTTGGGAAGAGGAAGTAAGAGGGAAAAGTGGCGGGGATCCTGCGAGCTGGGCGAGAATAGTAGGGCCAAGTAATACATGGGAGTGATGTAGATCCTCCTACTCCGTCAGGTAAGCCGGGCTCGTCAGGTCATATTCTTGGTAGGGCCCTGGGCAAAGTGCTATGGTACAAGTGGGTGTACCGAGTAGTGTACCTTTACGTAGCAGTCAACCATGGGCTGGCTCCGCTCCAGCTTCCTTGGAAATATAACCTGCTGATGGTGTGGATTTATCCATCGAGAGGCTCTGTACTCAAGTTACTTTTGTTCGCATCACACGACCGACTTCAAGCGTTGACGTACATACGACAACAAGACTGATGTGTATAAGAAGTGAGAAGGCCGAACAGACTCGTCAACTGAGATGAGACACGGTGATCAAAGCAATTCGGGCAACCGTTGAGACATGAGATGAACATGTCGGCCTCCCCACCTCAACCGAGACAGTCGAGCCCTCTTCGGGCGCGATCCACAGACTGTGTGTATGGGGGACGCCATGCTTGTGTGACTGGGCACCGAGGTGGGCGAGCTGGATTGCACGGCGGGACCAGGCCCTATCGTCATCAGGGTCCAGAGTGGACAGTCCTCGCCTTGTGGTTGGCGAGAAGAGCACGAGAGAAGACCGCAGATGGGCGGCTGAGCATATGGAAGGCCCCACTGATGACCAGGGGAGGAACAGTCAAAGCCAACATGACATGCCCGTTTTCCTGTGGTGATGAGAGGCATCTCAGGGCCGATGAGAAGACCGAATAAGAATCTTTACTTGCATTCGCTCGGGCGGTCCGTTCATACCCCCAACATGACGACGATCGCGTTCGGAATTTTGTCCTATGATGCCCTGCCGAAGCTCGATATCTTCTCTGGGTGGGCCTATGCCATTCCACCGTCTTGGCGGGATAGTCGTGCGCGCCATCTAAGGAAAACCTTGACAGCAGCTGCAGTTTAACTGCCGTACGATTGTTGGACTGATCGATGTTCTCCCTCGAAACGCCTCGACCCTGCCTCGAACTGCCAAGACCAAGCAAAGGCAGCTAGCAACCTCTCTGGATGAGCGGGGCGAGGCAACGAGGAGGGACAAGTTTGAAGGCAATGACGCAGTAAGTACGCTACTAGGTACGTAGTGGCATAGTAGTATCAAGTACCTCGATGGCCCGAATGGTTGGTGGGGTGGCGCAGTATCTCTCCCCTGTGATCAAGCCAAGGTGTGTAAAAGGCACACGCTGGAATCATTAGGCAGCAATTGATTGTTTTTCACTAAGAATTACCAAAAAGTTGGCAACTGAAGAGACCGAACTTGATGCATCTCAGAAAAGCTTCACGTTTAATCAAGTCATCTTTCAAGACGGACTAAGCTGTGGTCCGTTTTGCTGGTGTTGCGGTTCCTCGCTTTGTCCGTCAGGCCAACCCGATGAGATGATGTAATGCCCCACCGACACTTACATCTGTTAGTGATTGTTAGTGAATTCCACAGCGTGTGGGACTGGCAGATACCGCCCACTAACAGCGCCCTTCCACACACGGTCCTGGCCGTCGCGAGGTCATGCCTCCCGTCTTGAAGAGGCAGAAGCGTTCTCGAGGCGCGCCAAGAACGTCTTGAAGGTTCATTGCTCCATGAGAATTGATAAGCCCCCATATCAGAGGAAAGCGCGAAGCTCGTGATGGTTGCTTATGGAGGTATGATCTGGACCTACCCGTGCAGGGAAGTTGGCTCGTAAGAAAGTCATCTTCCCATGGCACCGCATTTCTCCAAGATTCGACATCAGCCCG